GGGCTGGCCAAGCAAAGGCCCAAGCCCGTCCGTTTAAGCGGGCGGGCGGGCCATCCCGCGGGCCACTGGCCCGTTTGACAGTGCTACAAAAGACCACATACTTTCTTTTAATTACTATAGTGCCACCCCGTCTGACAACTTAAATAAACAACTTTGACCTGTATCCCAACCTCTTATTACATAGATCTAAAGGCCCACGTTTGTTCCTACTTCTTTCACTATCTAGCATTCTTTGTGATATAATCTATATAACTCAAAGAAACAAATAGCGAGCTATCGAATTTCGCGTTTGGCTGATCTGACCGCTATAACGGCGCTATCACCGCGCTATAGCGGCAGCTATACGCCGCAGCGTTGCATTGCTGTCCACGCTATAGCGCCGCTATAGCGCGCCATTTTAAATGGAATGATAGTTTTCTCCTTTTTTTTTTTTTGAATTAATGGGTTGCCTTGGTTTAATATTTATGAAGTTTTGCCTTGATTTAATATTTCTGAAGTTCACTAATTTTCCAATTGATTACATTGCGTATCCGTCTTTAGTATTCTATTTTATTTTGTCCAAACTTGCTACATTTCACTAAATATATCAATCAATTCATCCCAGCGACAGTTGGATAATGAATCTATAAATGGAATATTTTAGTCAGATTACCATAGATCATCACAAGAAGATACCACAAATAAATTACAGGAAAAAATTTCAATTTTTGCCTAATAACATCGAAATCTCAATTCCACCTCCACGTGTATATTAAATATTAATACAAACAACGTCGTACAAAATAATCAAAGAAAACGACAAAAAAAAAAAGAATACATACACTGAGCTGGATAAAGCAATCAAAGCAGCATAGATCAAATTCAACTTTCACAAGATGATGTTAGCATCCTTCTTCAGGCAACAAATTGAACAAAAAACAGGGCGCGTGCGAATATAACACCATGTTTTTGGGTCGGCCAGCAATAGCGGCGATTTAGCGCGCTATATCGCCAATAGCGCGTATAGCGCAGAAATGCAAGATAGCGTCGCGTTAGTTGGTTTGAGCCGCTATAGTGCGCTATTTGTTTCCTTGATGTAACTTAATATAATATTATATAATTCTTATATTTATTTCTTTCACATATTCTTGTTTCTTTTGCCCACAACTTTAATTTATAATTATTATTTAATATTATTTACCCGTATATCACACGGACTACGTACTAGTAAATTTTTAATTAGGAGTAAATTAAAATCTATCCAAGGCAAACGACGGAAGATAGAATATTGGCACATAGGATCATGATTTGGCTCGTCACATTCAGAAATTATACGGTTAAAAGAAGAATGAAAGAAACCCAAATCCATATAAAATTATAGAGAAATGCTAAGACCATATTGCGGAATCATTCTGTCGGGGTTTGTAACCGTTAGATCATCATGTAATCGTCATAAATAGTTGATCTAACGGTTACAAATCTAACGGTTACAAACCCCGACAAAATGGTTCGGGAAGTAACATCTTCCAAAATTATAAACTAACAAAAAACTTAACCCGAAATTTATACACGGAGGTATTATTGCGATGGGATTGGAACCATGAGGGGTAAAACAGAGAAGGGAATGGGAGGTGGAAAATGGCAGTGGTGATTGCTTTTGTTTCCTGTCTGAAAAAAAAAATAAAAAAAATGTGGATATAACTAAAGTTAGTGGTCAGAGTGATGCCCAGTCTTATCCTCAAATGCAAGAATGAATTAAAATAAGAATGACGATGGCCACAAAAGCAGACATTCAGAAACATGGCGAGCATGGTGATGGTGCAGCCCATGAAAGCATCTTCCGCCGCCCTTTTGTCCTCATTCTCCGACTTCAGTGGCACTAGGCTCACTACCTCGCTCCAGGTCCGTGATGCACATAACCTGTTTGTTAATATGCCGCAACTGAATACATATAACTTACATATATTATTAGTGCGTGCGTGAAGGGATGTGTGCACTTGGATTGAACTTAAAGTAGTAATACAATCCCTTTACCTGTGTGGTTTTTAACTTGCTGCAGTCTGCATGTGACTGAGTGTGTGTGTGTGTGTGTGTGTGTGTGTGTGTGTGTGTGTGTGTGTGTGTGTGTGTGTGTGTGTATGTGTGTGGCAATGTTTGATATTTCGACTTATGAGCTTATTTGGGATACTGAGGGGTTGTCCACTTGATTAATCTTGTGATCCCAACTCAACTATTGTTTTATTTTTCCAGGCTGAAATGAATTTAGTTTTCCTTGTAACTGATTAACTCAAGCTCAGTACGCGTACTGGGAATTGGGAAAGGATGGATGATGGCTCTGAGGATTTCTTATTTTCTTTTTATTTTCCTTGTTTGTTGGCAGTGTAAGAGGAAATCATGGCAGCCGAAAGGAGCATTGCGCGTTACAGCTTCGAGTTCCAAGAACATTCTTATAATGGGAGGGACCCGATTCATTGGCCTATTTCTATCCAGACTTCTCGTGAAAGAAGGCCATAAGGTTCGATATTCCTTTATTGTCAGTTACAAACCTCCTTTTTTTTTTGGTCTAGGAAACATGTGAGTAGTTGGATAAGTGCAGGTCACCCTGTTCACCAGAGGAAAAGCCCCCATTGCCCAGCAATTGCCCGGTGAATCAGACTCCGATTTTTCTGATTTTGCATCCAAAGTAAGTCGGTTTTCGTGTGGGCTTCTAGAAATTCTCTTTGTGGTCTGACAAAGCGACTTGTGGCCCTACTTTATGTTCTCACTAAATGGAGCACTTGAAAGTTCAAACTAAGAAATTCCCCACTGGGCAGAAAATTGTTCTCTTAGGCAGAACCGAAAATTTGGTTTCAGTTCTTATTTTTTCCCTCTACTATTTTCATTTTCTTCTTAGGATTTTTAAGTGTTTGAGGGTTTTATATATTTCTTATCCAGTTTCTTATGGTTCAATTTTTAGTTGTTGTTTCTAGAGTTTTCCTTCGTTTTGGCATTTTTATTTTTCTCTCGTTTTCAAACATGTTGATCCTAGACTATGTGACAGGAGTGTCTCTTTTCTTTTTCTTTTGTAGATCTTGCACTTGAAGGGAGACAGGAAGGACTATGAATTTGTAAAGAGCAGTCTCTCTGCAGAAGGATTTGATGTTGTTTATGACATAAATGGTGTGTGTGGTCGTCCATAATTTCACACATATACATTATGCAATATATTTGTTTTTTCATCTAAAAATCATAATTGCATGTAACTAGTTATTTTGATTATATCAGGACGTGAAGCGGATGAAGTCGAACCAATATTGGATGCATTGCCAAAACTTGAACAGTAAGTTTTTGCACCCATTATGGCTGATGTGGGTATCATCACAAAGTCTGTGAAGCAAAGATTCAGATATCATGATGTGTTTGGTTACCAGACGACCTGAAAACGCTCTTAATATGACTCAGTGCAAATTGATAGACTGTAGAGAACGTATGGGAAGTCTGAATTTCCCTCTTAAAACCTTGATGGAAAAAACTTACTGATAGTAAACAGTAAAACATGCCATGTTATAGATAAAAACGGGATAAGGTTTTATTTACCTGGAATTTTTTTGTCTGAATCCTTCATTTATCCAGTTTAACTGAATTCCAGGTATATATATTGCTCTTCAGCAGGAGTTTACCTCAAATCTGATTATCTCCCACATTTTGAGGTCAGCATGGATATATTCCCTTTCCCCAAAACCAAAACTCAAATTTGCCTATGTTTCCTTTTTCCCTTTTCTTTTTTTTAGGGAATATTATGGCTGTATTATTTGAAATGACGCTTCAGAGTTTTCGGATAACCTTTTCACTGAGAAAAAGATAACTTTCAAATTTGGTTGTGAAAATGAAACAGTTAATGTTCATTAATACTTTTCTCGTAGTTGAAGAATATTGGTCTGCTTAACCATCATCTGGTTTTGTCCTTGTTGGAAAAAGACTGATGCAGTTGATCCCAAGAGCCGACATAAAGGCAAACTTGAGACTGAGAGTTTGTTGGCCTCACGAGACGTCAACTGGACTTCTATTAGGCCAGTCTACATATATGGCCCACTTAACTACAACCCCGTTGAGGAGTGGTTCTTCCACCGATTGAAAGCGGGCCGTCCTGTTCCGATTCCCAACTCAGGCATGCAAGTGACTCAGCTGGGTCACGTAAAGGTCAGTGGAAGAAGCTGTTGGAATACGCATTACTTTGAGTAAAACCAAATATATATTTGAAAGGATAAATATGGGTGAAATTTATATAAAAATAAAATAAAATTAAATTAAATAAACCGACCCCACCCCACCCCAAGTAATAATAATAAAGCAGATCTTTCTAATTTTGACCTGCAAAATTGCAAATACCTCCTATCTGAATCTGAGGATGTAACAATGAAACATAAACAAATATCAAAAGGGTAGATCACTGCTTTTCTTTCTTTTTCTTTTTCTTTTTGAAATTCCTCACTATACATTGTATTTTCTTATAACTTCAAACTTCAAAGCAGCTCAATAAAAACAAGATTTCTTAAAACAATTGATGTTGATCACATTGAAACTGCACGAACACTACTGTTAAAATTGCAGGACCTAGCGACTGCTTTTGTTAATGTTCTTGGTAATGAGAAAGCGAGCAAGGAAGTATTCAACATCTCTGGAGAGAAATATGTCACCTTTGATGGTTTAGCTAAGGCTTGTGCTAAGGTAATCATTAATAGAAGTTCAATTCTAAAACGAGTTAGTGTCTCAATTTAATTTAATATAAACGTGGTTATTGTCATCAGGCCGGTGGCTTCCCAGAGCCCGAAATTATTCATTACAATCCCAAGAAGTTTGATTTTGGTAAAAAGAAACCATTTCCTTTCCGGGACCAGGTAAATACGCTTTGCACCATATCTGATAAATGAAAAAACAAGAATGATAATAATGAGTTACTTTTAAATTTACTGAAATTCCATTCATGGGATCATTTCCATTTTGTAACTAGGAGATGCTATTTATGTTTCAACATGTATAAATTTGTGAGCATGTTCTGAACTCCTTTTATTTTGCTGTTTCTAATCATTTTATGATGAATGCAGCATTTCTTTGCATCGGTTGATAAGGCAAAGAGCGTGCTCGGTTGGAAACCAGAGTTCGATCTTGTGGAAGGCCTTGCAGATTCTTACAACCTAGACTTTGGCAGGGGAACATTCCGCAAAGAAGCCGATTTCTCGACGGATGACATTATTCTTGGAAAGAGCCTCGTTCCACAGAGCTAGTCCGATTGTGTGATCTTTCTTCTGTTTATTTTTCAACATTTTTACATAATTAATTCGGGGTCCCTTTTCCAGAGGGGGGAATGTATTATGCGTTTATAGTTTTGTAAGTTATCAAACATCTCCAAGTTTGAACTTGGATAGTTCAGTTGCAATGTCACATGGCAAGAAAAAGCTTTTGGTTTAATAATAAAAATATTAAAAATAAATATTATAAAATTAAAAATTTGTGTTAATATGAAAATTAATTATATAAATTAAGTATTTGGCAACATGAATATGGTTTTTTTTTATTAGTCTTACAATTCAAGAATTTTTTTATTAAGAATAAAATAAAGTTGAAAATTTTTATTTGGTGGCGTTGATAAATTTCAATTGGGGTAGAAAATTCAATTGGAAGAATTGCCAAATGAGTCATATATATATATATATATATCTATATATATATATATATATATATATATTGGAAATTTTGATAGCGATTTTAAATATTATTTATACTGAATAATAATTAGAATTTATATTTAATAAGTTAGATTAATAAAAATTAAATATTATTTAAACTAAAAATAATTAGTAATTATATTATAGTAATTAAATAAAACGTACCAAAAGACATAATCCAATTTATTGAAATCAAAACTGTCAATATGTTTACAACAGTACTACGTTGTCTACAACTCTTAACAATAAGTATAATATGATATTTTTGTTATAAAACTAGAGAGAAAAGAAAGATAATAGAGAAAATATTTTTCTTAGGTACAATTTTCATTATAACTGAAGCTCCTATTTATAGGAAACTTCTAATGGCACAACCGTAATAATACGATTACATCGGGGGCAAAATAGTCATTCACATACATAAAATTAATGGTGGTGGACCATATATATTTATAACACTCCCCCTTGAATGACTATTTTCTAAACATATTTGAATCATTATTTGAACAAAACTTTAAGTATATCTTGTGGCCATCAGGTACCGCTGCTTTAACATATCAGGAAAACCCGGTGGGACAAAACCTGATCATCTTGAAATCATATTATTGCTTTCTCAGGAAAACCCGGTGGGACAAAACCTGATCATCTTGAAATCATAGCATTTCTCCTCAGGAAAACCCGGTGGGACAAAACCTGAGCATTGTGGAAGCACAACATTGCTCCCCCTCAAATAGATCATCTTTAATGGAGTATCCATGTGCTGCCTCGTTAAAACCTTGTCAAGAAAACCCAGTGGGAAAAAAACTTGATCGAAGGAAAAAGAGTACAACTACTCCAGTCTTTTCTTATCATCATGAAGAATCATATCAATTATCCAGTAGTCTTCATTATACCATGAATATGCCTCGTTAAAACCTTATTAGGAAAAACCCAGTGGGACAAAATCCTAATGAAGGAAAAAGAGTACACTATTCATGTGAATACGCCATCCATGTTGCCTCATTAAAAACCTTGTTAGGAAAACCCAATGGGACAAAACCTTAGCCAAGGGAAAAAGAGTACAACGCGTATTCCACATATTCATCATAATAACTTTGCCATAATTTTCATGAATATCATATAGATTCGTTCAGATTTTCCGGTACTGGTGGTATTTATGATAATATGCCATATCATGCTTTTGTGCAACTATCATTCTCATCATCAACCGTTTTCAATGGTCTTACTGCCAATAGTTCCCAATATTCTCATTTCAGCTGATTTCATTCTCATCAATATCATTTCTATAGCGCTATTCATTTG